AGGTATATATTTCATTACATTACATTGTGTAGATAAAAGTTGTTGACATTTTATAGGTAAGTTACAAATCTATATTAGTTTGTGACAAATGAAAGAAGGAATATTTGGAACTATTAATTATATTTGATTGTAATTTGAAAATAGATATACATTGTATTTCATCATATATATAATGTAAGAGTGTTATAGGTTTTCCACACTTTTCTTCATCATGCTTGAATATATTGATTGACAATTGGTAAATAGTTTTATCATGACAAGTTACAGATCAAGTTCAAATTTTTGTTTCGGTATGATAATATTGTGCAGAGTTATGGTCCTTAGACTTGAAAAAATTCACTCATATATTCAGTTTTCCACACTGTTTTTAGTCGTGCTTGAAGATATTGACTTGATATTTTCTTTTAGTTTACACCATGACAAGTTATAGAACAAGTTAGCATTTTGTTCCAGTATAATGAATTTTTACCTGGTAGGGGACTATGTATTGCCATGCAATACTCTCAGAATGCTTGTTAATTAGTAGATTTCTGTTCAAAGGGAAATAACTCATTTTTTAAAAGACAAAATGACATTTTGGATTTTTTCCTTTTCTATGGTAAATTGTTTGAAGAATTTAGTGGTAGGTTTGTTTGTCATTCTTGAAGATATAGATTTGATAATTAGTATATAGTTTTATCATGACAAGTTACAGATCAAATTGGAATTTTTTTCCAGTCTGATAATTTTGTGCAGAATTATGGTCATTGGACATAGAAAATTCACTTAAATAATCAGTTTTCAACAGTTTTTTTCGTCATGCTTGAAGATTTTGACTTGATATTTTTATGTAGTTTACACCATGACAAGTTATAGATCAAAATTAGAATTTCGTTCCATTACAATGAATTTTTAACCGGTAGGGGACTATGTATTGCCATGCAATACTCACAGAATGCTTGTTATTTTTAGCTCACCTGGCTGAAAGGTCAAGTTAGCTTTTCTAATCATTTGGCGTCCGATGTCCTTCATCTATGTCCGTCGTCGTTAACTTTTACAAAAATCTTCTCCTCTGAAACTACTGGGCCAAATTTAACCAAACTTGGCCACAATCATTATTGGGTATCTAATTTAAAAAAATGTGTCCGATGACCCCATTCACCAACCAAGATGGCCGACATGGCTAAAAATAGAACATAGGGGGTAAAATGCAAGTTTTGCCTATTATTTTGAAAACTGTTATAAATTGAGAAATTCTGACTTGGCAAAAATGTTCAGAATGTTGAGCTCTATCAATTGTTCCTTTGCATAAAAACTGTCAGATGACTTCTAATAGGAGTTATTGCCCTTAAATGACAAATTTTACCATTTTTTTTTTTCATTTTTAGCTCACCTGACCCGAAGGGTCACGTGAGCTTTTCTCATCACTTGGCGTCCGTCGTCCGTCGTCGTTAGCTTTTTACAAAAATCTTCTCCTCTGAAACCACTGGGCCAAATTTAACCAAACTTGGCCACAATCATCATTAGGGTATCTAGTTTAAAAAATGTGTCCGATGACCCCGCCAACCAACCAAGATGGCCGCCATGGCTAAAAATAGAACATAGGGGTAGAATGTAGATTTTGGCTTATATCTCTGAAACCAAAGCATTTAGAGTAAATCTGACTTAGGGTAAAACTGATTATCAGGTCAAGATCTATCTGCCCTGAAATTTTCAGACAAATTTGACAACCTGTTGTTGGGTTGCTGCCCCTGAATTGGTAAATTTAAGGAAATTTTGCAGTTTTTGGTTATTATCTTGAATATAATTATAGGTAGAGATAAACTGTAAACAGCAATAATGTTCAGCAAAGTAAGATCTACAAATAAGTTGTCATGACCAAAATTGTCAGTCGACCCCTTTAGGAGTTATTGCCCTTAATAGTCAATTTTTAACAATTTTTCATAAATTTTTGTAATCTTTTACAAAAGTCTTCTTCTCTGAAACTACTGATACAAATTTAACCATACTTGGCCATAATCATTATTAGGGTATCTAGTTTAAAAAATTTGTCCGATGACCCCGCCTTCCAACCATCATGGCCAACTTAGTTAAAAATAGAACCTAGGGGTAAAATGCAGTTTTTGGTTTTTATATCTGAAACTAAAGCATTTAGAGCAAATCTGACAGGTGGCAAAAATGTTCATCAGATTTAGATTTATCTACCCTGAAATGTTCAGACAAATCCAACGACCCGTTGTTGGGTTGCTGCCCCTGAGTTAGTTATTTTACAAAGTTTTGCAGTTTTTTGTTATTATCTTAGATATCATTATAATATCTAATATCTAATACTATTAATTATGATTTTAACCTTATTTCACATGATTTCCAAAGCATCAGTAAATACAGGTGAGCGACACAGGCTCTTGAGAGCCTCTAGTTGCCTTTTATCTTGAAAACTATAATAGTTGGAGAGAAACTTTAAGTTGCAAAAATAATCAGCAAGACAAGATCTAGGAATAAGTATGCATTATTGAAATCATCAGTCGACTCCTAATTAGAGTTATTGCCCTTTGATGACAATGTTTACCAATTTTTTGCATTTTTGCCTGATATCTTAAAAAAAAATTATAATAGATAAAGAGAGACTTAAATAAGCAAAAAATGATCAGCAAGACAAGATCTACATTTAAGACAATATGGAGGAAATTTTGCTACAACTCCTTATTGGAGTTATTGCCCTTTAATGACAATTTTATAATTTTTTGGCAGTTTGCCTTATATGATAAAGAAACTTTAAATAGCAAAAATGATCAGCAAGGCAAGATCCACAAAAAAGTCAAATTTTGCCGATATAGTTAGTAGACTGTCACGCTTCATAGGAGTGATTGCCCTTAAATGAGGATTTTTTTTTACCCTCTTTTGTGTTTTGAGCAAAAACTAAAGAAGATAGAGAGAAATTTAACAGACAAAATGATCAGCAATACAAGATCAATGAAATAGAAATTTTTGTCATGAACTCTATTCTTGTCTACAATGTTGGAGAGAGTCCATTGTTGATTATGAACATAGACCTAGGTGAGCAACACAGGATCTTTAGAGCCTCTAGTTACAATTATTTTTGGCGGAAATTACATAAATCATACTTTGTAAGATCAAAACACCAAAAACTTTAAACTCTAAAATCTTTAATTGATAGATACAAATCTACCTTTTAAAATGAAAAAGGAATTATGGTTGTAGATTTGATATCATTGGATTTTTTGAAATTTTAAATAACAACCAAATAATGATCATATTGGGGAAAAACACAAAACTGAGGTTGCTATAGCGACAAAACGAAGACCTCCAATTTTTTTCATCTTATTTTGTTCCATAAATACCAAAATACCTTCACACAAAATTTTAAGAAAAAATCGCTGGTAAAATTAAATAGGCTGCTTGGTCTTTAAAGAATTTTTTAAAGGTTTGCTCTACAATAAAAGGTTTATTGAATGAATAGTGGTGAATATTAACCCTTGTAGAAACTATTGCACTCATATGCTTGTTTAATATAAAAGTCAACTTGGGACAGTACTCACAAATATTCATGTAATTACCCTATATTACTATTGTCTCAAGCTGGCAGACGTTGAAAATAGAAATTTTTTCACTGTAAATTCCACAGAAGACCAGGATACTTCATACCTTGTATACAGATGTCTTAGGTTACGAAGTGTCCATCTAGTATATGTCCATTGAATAAAATTGTAGTTTTATACCACATGAATTTCTACCTTATCATAAGCAAGGTTATGATTACATGATATGGTCCATTTCTCAGATACTATAAGTAGTAGGTCAAATAAATTTGGTATATGAAATGATTGTAAGATGTGCATGTCCCTCTGCCAGGGTTCATTTGACCTCGACCTCATTTCCATTGTTCATTTGTCAATGTTAAGATTTTATGATTAAGTCTTTTTCTCTGATACTATAAGCAACAGGCAAACTGTTGTATTCAATGATTGTAAAGTGTACATGTCTGCTTGTCAAGGTTCATCTGACCTTGACCTCATTTCCATGGTTCATTTGTCATCACTGTGAAGTGCAGAAAATTGAGACTGCCACTGAAAAAGAGGTAATTTTAAAGGAGCAGGAATTATGCCTTACTATAGGCTACTGAAAGACTGTCAAAGAGTTGTTATAGGTTTTTTATTTATATATGGAGACAATGTGGTACTCTCCTTGTGTAAGTCATCAAATTGAACATACCCATTTTGACTAAACCTAGCTATGTATTTATACTTCATGCACAGTCTGTCTTAAGCGCCTTTTCTGCTGGTAAGGAGAAGTCCAGATGACCATATTTCTATACCACAGCCAACTCTTGGGGTTACTTTTGAACTGAATATGTGTTGATTAACTGGTTTTACTATTGTTCATTACTATCATATCTAATCTCTATTGTATCTGTAAATAAGGTTACTATATATTATGGCTTGTCAAAATTACTATAATCATATTTTTAAAAGATGTTTTGCCACTTGAAAATGTGATTTAAGACCAAAATCAATGGTAATTGGTATTTTTCCATTATTGATTTATTCTGTAAAAATTAAGACGATATCATATGATTGCCAATGACACAACTGTTCACCAGAGACCAAATGAAGTAGATGTAAGCAACTATATAGGTCATTGTAAGGCCTGCTTACTTTTTAACTGATCATAGTCAAAAAATTAAATTGTGAGAAAAAATTACTTCAACCATATTTTGCATATCCCATTTGAGATGGTTGTAATGTATGTTATTATAATCAGTTTAATACCAGTGAACATTAAATATTGAAAATTATGTTTAATTGTAAGATATATATGTCATTTATATTGAGAAGAAACCAATGTATTAACGTTTTACAATAGTACTCTCTTTCTTGTTTTCTTATTCAGTTTATTCAATTATTTTGATTTATTCCTTAAGATTGCTGTTGTTTCCACATTATATTTATTTTTTTCTAGTTTTTGAAATGAAATGTAAGTGTTGTAATATTATTTTGCAGTTTATTTTAGATGTTCGGTTGGACTATCGTATCACTTGCCTTTTGTCGATTTTCAAACATGAATTTGATGAAAACAATTCCATCAAGGACACTGACAATGGTAATTCACCCTTTCTTGCTGGAATATATAACTTTCATTTTGTCTTCACATTTAGTTTGTTAATTAATAGGATGCATGTATTAAAGATCTTGCAAAATTTCTTGCTATCTGCTCTCTTCCTTCACTTGCATGCTTGTTAATACAACGAGTGCTAAATTATAATATTTCAAGACAGTCTTATTGGTTGTTTGTTAATCATACTGATTTTAATCATCATTTACTCCATGATACTAACCGGTATGAAAATTACACCCCTTTTAACTTGAATTTGTCAAACATAGTATAACTAATCTCTTTTTTAGCTATTTTTTTTACCAGTGAATTTTTTATTTTTGTGGTCGTATATTGGTATGACGTTGGCGTCGTCGTCCGAAGACACATTGGTTTTCGCACTCTAACTTTAGTTTAAGTGAATGGATCTCTATGAAATTTTACCATAAGGTTCAATACCACAAAAGGAAGGTTGGGATTGATTTTGGGGGTTATGGTACCAACAGTTAAGGAATTAGGGGCCAAATAGGGGCCAAAAATAAGCATTTTTGTAACTTCCAGACATAACTTGTGTGTAAGTGTATGGATCTCTCTGACATTGTACCACAAGGTTCCATACCACACAGGGAATGTTTGGATTGATTTTGGGGGTAATTGCCTCAAAATATTAGGAATTAGAGGCCAAAAAAGGGGCAAAAAACAAGCATTTTTCTAGTTTCATGACAATAACTTGTGTGCAAGTGTATGGATCTTTCTGAAATTGTACTACAAGGTTTCATATCACAAAGGGAAAGCTGGAATTGAGTTTGGAGGTAATTGCCCAAAACGTTTAGGAATAAGGGGCCAAAAAGGGGCCAAAAATAAACATTTTTCTAGTTTCCAGACAATAACTTGTGTTCAAGTGTATGGATCTCTCTGAAATTGTACTGCAAGGTACCATACCACAAAGGGAAGGCTGGGATTGAGTTTGGGGGTGATGAATCATAAGGGGGTTCAAAAAAATTGGGGGGGGGGGGGGGGAGGGATTTTTTTTTCTTTAAAATTTTCCATTTTAAATTGGTTATTTCTGATTTATAAATAAAAGCAAATGATAATGATATGGTTTGAATAGGTAATTAAAAATTTTTAAGTTCTTAGACCACATTCATTCTGTGTCAGAAACCTGTGCTGTGTCAAATATTTAATCACAATCCAAATTCAGTGCTGTATCAAGCTTGAATGTTGTGTCCATACTTGCCCCAACTGTTCAGGGTTCGACCTCTGCGGTAGTATCAAGCTGCGCCCAGCGGAGCATTTTATTTTAAGTTGGTTTAAGGATGGTATCTCACTATGAATTGGAACACATTTATACTGTTGAAAAATTGGCAATAACAGTCTATAATAGAAAAACAAAGGATATGGGGTATCCATCCATGACACAAAATCAGTACATGCACAGCAAAAAGACACACAAAGGAACAGTGCTTTTATTGCTGTTCTTCATCTCAAAGTCACAGTGAGGCCTTCAACATGGAGCAACCAAAAAAAATAAACTCTCACCTCACTGCAAGTTTAAGATAGCCCCTAGCACCGGCTTGAGCGGAATTCTTTGCAAAAATAAATTTGGATAGACTTTGTAAGATGTAACACCACCTAATGTCCCTCCAACCGAATGTACTAGTATTTTGAACACTTGAAATAAAAATGTTTTCTCTCAATAAATGTGCAGTTCATGAAGCATCAGTTGGCAATGCCAGCTTTTTTCTTTTTCTTTTTATATGCCCGTGTACGGGACGTATTATGGTATACCGTTGACCGTCTGTCCGTCCGTCCGTCCGTCGTCAACATGTCAGACATTAACTCAAAAAAGCTTTAACCAATATGCATGAAACTTTGGTGAATTGTTTATATCTATTGACGTGAGCTCCCTTTCGTTTTTTATAAATTTCAGATTTACCGTTTCTGAGTTTTGGGGTTTTACTCATTAAAAAAGGGGGGATTTTCCAGTTTTTGGACAATAACTCAAAAATGCTTTCAGCAGTTCTCATGAAACTTTGGTGAATTATTTATAGCTATTGATGTAATCTCCCTATTGATTTTCATAAATTTCAAATATGACATTGAGAAGAAATTGAACTTTATTTGTTTATAGTCTGACAACAGATTTACTAAGTATTGCGCAACAGCACAGTGTATTGCATAACAGCAAGAAATCTTTAATTGAATATAAATTCAATTCATATAACCAAGTTCAAGTTCTTTGACTACATTTATTCAGAAACCTGTAATATGTCAAATATTTAATTACAATCCAAATTCAGACCTGTATCAAGCTTGAATATTGTGTCCATTTTTGCCCCAACTGTTCAGGGTTGAACCTGTGCGGGCGTATCCAGCTGCGCTCAGCGAAGCAGTTTATTTGGATTGTTATTGTCTGTTACATATCATTAACATACCTTTTTGGATATACAAGACTGATTGCATTACAATTAACTTCACTCGAAGCATAATGTTTTAAGAAAACATATAGTGATATTTCAGCACTATTTCTTTTACACAGAGTACAACAATGATTAGTAACACTTAGTTACTATAAACTGCAATTTATGATAAAGTTACTTTGGTTAAGTTTTCTGTTTAATGTTTTTCCTGGACCCTAAAGGTAATATATCAGTAATGATATTTCAGTGAAGTATTATTGTATATTTCAATTCAAATGGATAACACTTTATGCTTGATTGAATGTGGTTAAAATTTTGCATGTAGGTTCATATCTCAGAAAGCCATATTAAGTACCTGTACTATATTTAGAATACGTCACTCCTATATATACTGTTTAGTCACAAATTTTTGCATGAATTAATTATTGCAATTGTTGAACAACAAACAGAAATGAAGATTTATTGTAGAGATTTTAGGAAAAAGTGCATATAAATGTTGCTATCAAAATTTTAAATGGGTGTATTAATTTAACTTAACATATTCAGTCACAATTCTGCAATGATAAAAATGTTGCAAAAATATATGAATTTACAGCACTTAGTACCAAACAAGGCCACATTGTTGTGGTCATCTTGATCTATGTTTTGCTTCAGAAACTTGAAATATGCCCCATTATGTCCTATCATACCAATTTGTAGAAGATAAGCAATGATATTTTACCTCAGAATTCTTTTTGGGTTTTGACCTTAATTTTATGCTTGACAAGCTAAGTCAGGAATCTGATTACAGTAGTTGTCGTCTGTTTATGTAGTTCATACGTGTTTCTCGTTTCTCGTTTTTATATAGATTAGACCGTTGGTTTTTCCGTTTGAATGGTTTTACACTAGTAATTTTTTGGGGCCCTTTATAGCTTGCTGTTCGGTGTGAGCCAATGCTCCGTGTTGAAGGCCGTATCTTGACCTATAATGGTTTACTTTTATAAATTGTAACTTGGATGGAGAGTTGTCTCATTGGCACTCATACCACATCTTCCTATATCTATTATCTTCAGGTTTGCTTTAAGGCTCAAACTGTTATTTTTTCACATAGTTTTTTTCAGCGAAGGAATCTGTAAACATATCGAAATTTGTAAAATTTCCTGATGTGACAAGTTTTCTGTTATGTAGGCTTGTATTTTTTTTATTCCATTTTCATTAGAGTAAGCATGCAGTCTTAGGGGCATTAGTTGTGATTTTGACAAAAAATTAAAATACAATTTTTTTTTTTTTCAAATATTAATAAAAGCGGAATTTTGAATTAATATTTTGTTATGAGCAGTTAGTTTGGCCCAAATCTGTCAAAATAAGCTCAAAAACATTGCTGATGTATTATTGACTTGCATGTTAATAATTCGACCTCAAGTGAATTCGTATTCATGTGAACTTCAATTCAATCCCTTAACTGGAGATAGGTTACGCATGTACTAATCTTATTCAGCTATTAAAAGGGAAAAAATGTCAACATTGAAAGTGAAACAAGGGTGAACCATTTTGTTTACTGAATCGATCCACAAAAAATCTTTCTTATACAGGTAAAAACGGTGATTAACATATTTTTTTTAAACCTATAACATGCAATCAAACAGACCTAGAAAATCCAATTGCATGTGGTTGCTATCTATTTATATTAATATTTATGTTTATATCAGGTTATGTGACCATCAGCAGTCTTCAGATGTCATCTCGATGGTTATTTAGATGGCGTCTAGACTATAATACATTCAAAATGCTGATATATATTATCGAGTCCATGCATTGTTTATTGTTTATTTTAGACTTTTTGTAATTTGGACATACGTTTTAGTATGTTATAAATCAAATAAGAGAATTTGAGTCAAATCAGTGAACACAAATTTGACAGCTAATGCCTCTTTAATACATGAACCAAGCATTTGTTTAGTTGTAGCTTGTCTTGCATCCAAGGCATTTGACAAAAAAAATATTGTATGTTTCAGTATTTAATGTATGTTCGTATGGACTACCGTTTGACTTGGATTTTATCAATCTTCAAAAGCCAAATTGAACAACAGACAGAAACAAAGCCTGATGCTTCTATCAGTGGGTTTGATTTGTGTTGTGCTTAAAATATAAAATAAATGTTGTATACTAATTTAGGGCTATTTTATTTACCGGGTATATAAAAAGAAGAAAAGAAAGTTTTTATTTTCACTGTTTGAGACTTGTTTTCAAAAATAGAAAGATAATTATGTTATTGTACTGAAGAGAACTTTGTTTTACAAAGCACAGGACAATAACTTAACAGATGAATCTATACTTACCAGTTAATGTCTTTTAAAGTTTTACAAGTGCTATTTGAAATGATACAAACACATTTTTAAGATGTCTTATATATCTAGAATAGCTATTTGGCAAATTATTTATTTATTCCTTTTTGTCTTGCCTGGGACGAAAGTCGCAGTATGCTAGACATAATGATTACTATCCTGCGACGATGTAAACAATTTGTATAAAGCTTTATATATTTCAGAAGGATGCTTCATACCTTAAATGCAGATATCTTATGATACAAAGTTTTCGTCTGTCATATGT